GTTTCACCTCTTTATGCTCTGACAAATTAGAGACAGCATAAACAAGTAAGATATATCAGTGTGCAGCCACATCTGAAAACGCAGGCCAGGTAAGTGGATTCACATGAATAGATTCCCCAGTGAATGCCACTCCCAGACCGGTACATGCGGAGATCTAACTTCTCATTTTAGGAAAATGCTGTGTATGATTTATTCACCATTGGGAGAAACAAATCACATCCGTGAATATTTCATATTTATGCCATACACCCCAGCAACACATTTAACGCATCAATCCCATAACAACATTGTTCTTAAACCAAAGAAAACCCACCTAATTTGTCAGGGTGAATTCTATGTATCAGGTACCCTGCAATTGCTTTAGTAAATCCAGAGCATTTGTAATTTTTATTTATTTAACGCTATCCTTTTATTTCTAACAGGAACTAATTCTCAGTGTATTATTCATGACCTACATTCTTAAAGTGAAGTTCTGTTTTGAGCCAAGTAGTCAAGTATGTACTGAGTTCTTGAAGAGAAGCTTCATGGACTGAAACAAAGCAAGAATGGATAAAACTGCAAAGATTTAACCCTATACAAAGATATTCCGCTAAGCAGGATCATTTTAAACACTATGGTACGTCTATCTAGCCATAACTCAAAGGAATTATTAGCAGAAAATGCAGTAACTGATAACCAGAAAAAAAAGGAAGTTAAACTACCATTTTAATATTAAAATCTGTAAGTATAGCACAGGTCACAACTGAAAAGGCGTCACCATTTTGCCAAGCCAACTTCCTTTATCCGTACCTGAAAAGAACCACGTCAGGAAAAAAAGGTAGAGAGGTAATTTCTGTTGCCAACTTAAACATCCTGCTTCATCCTGAACTTCCCAAGGGTGTGACTTGTGCCAGTAATGATGGGGGCTTTATATGGTTTTTAACACTGCTTGTATAGTTTGTGTAAAACCAAATTCAGAGCATATTAAGTCAGGAGTGAAGGCAGTTTTACACACAGCAACACCCAGGGCCTACTGGAAGCTTACTTTCCATTCTGAGGAAAGTGGTGAATTTTACTTCCAGTGGATCTTATTACTGTTTCTCACTCCTGAACTGGAATTCCCCCAAGAAGCATACCTGTGAAAGCCACTCTTCATCCTCCTGCCCGCTGTGGTCAGATGCTAAGCTGTCGTACGACTCATGTCGAGTGATCGGTCCGGGGCTCCCCGGTGGAACCACTGAAAGAAACAGAAAATTGAAAAATCAGATTTACTGTTAAATACTTTTTACAGTCAGTTATTGGTACAGTAACATACATATTTTCCTAAATCTGTGACAATATGTTGGAGCACAGAAAGAACTCAAATATTGACATCAAAAGCAGTAAAAACATTTCTGTTCTTTGACTTGACTATGTACATACAGCCACTATGATAACCCAATTGGGTCTTCTTCTTTTAACCTTAAGTTCTTCATGAACATACAGAACAGCTCAATACAGAGGACAACCACCTGCATTGAGGAATTTAACGCCGAGAAATGCTGCTGTCAATGATGTAAGCCTTTTCTACAACTTCTTCCGAAATCTGAACTGTGCTAAAGCGCGCTGACAAAAGTTATCCTGAGGCACTGGTACATGTACTGACCTCAAAAACAGAGTACTTCCAACGCTTCATGAACTGAATTATCACTCTCATTTTGACATTAATGTAGTTAATTTAAAGCTGGGTTTGACTTCTTTGCAATTTAATTGGAAGTGCTTCATTATTATTTTAGTGCCACCTTTTCATTACCTTTCATTACTTAATTTGCTACAAAGACTAAATACCAAGATTATTTCACCGGACTGTAAAATAACAGAAATTCCGTATTCAAGGGTTGTATTGCATAATAATAATACTGTATAATAATTTTGGACAGATAAGAAAAGCACTTTTTTCAGCTGCAGGTGGCACTGATAGCTAGAAATATGTATTAGTTCAAGTCGAGGGACAAATTCATCGGCAGCTATTAAACGCAACAGTCCAGACACAACTTCCAAGAAGGCCATAACCTCCAAATTCCCGGATGTTGGAGCATCGGCTTCCAGTCACCACCAGACACCCAAGGCTGGGTAAATTTTTGGTTTGACTCAACATCAGAACTGTCCACAGTGCTCATCAGAATACCTTTTCTTGACAGCACCATGAAAATCTTACATTACTGTAACTGCTTAAATACCCAAGTCTCTACTGTTTTCAAAAAAACCAACCTCAATTCAAGAGCAAAACTAAGTTAATTCTGTTCCTCTATTCACTGCTCATTCATCTTCATATGGACTCACTACAACAGAAAAATGCAAGTTCTTCAGCTCTGTATACTACATGAGAGCCAACACCACTTTTAAAATGATTACCACATATTCATACAACTTTGGGGAAAATCACAATTCGGTGTTCAAACGCTACCACAAAAAAAAGAGAGAGGATTGTAGATTCATTATTGTAAAGATTAGTATTTCTTCATTCCTGGTCCTTGAGTCATTTAAATATATTAGCAAAGCTTACAGCCTAGCTATTTTGCTTTCTATGGCGGTAGCATTCCGTTGCTCTGACTAAAACTTCACGCTTGAGAAAGCTGAAAGAGTTTAGAAAAAGCAAAATGCAAGCAAGCATCCCAGACAATAAGACAGGTGGTATTTTTCATTTTCTTGTACCTGCTTACTGTCAGGGGCCTGTTGGAGGTCTGGATTCAATACCAAGAAACCATACCCACACTTTGAGGGAAGAGCAGACACCACAAAAGCAAATTAAAAGAAGCAAATGCAACAATGGTATTTTGACTTTGGTAAAACAAGAAGGTTTTATGCTATAGTGTTAAGATACTGGACAATCCTAAAATTAGAAACAATATTTTTATATTCACATGATCTAAAAATGACACAAAGTTTTTAAAATTGATTTTTAAAAAAACTATATTATTGCAGGGTTGACCTTTATGTGTCAAGTTTCCATCCACTACAAATTTTTACAGCCACGTTGTAAACCCCTAATAATAGAGTTTATAATGGCAAAGCAGACACAATTGTAACCATAAATACGGAACGGCGCCTCTATAATATAAACAGCACAGCGTTTTCATAAATCCATACACTACATGAAATAAAGGGATTTTCATCCTGTATGTATAAGTGGGTATCTAAACCCAACCTCAGCTATGGAGCTATTTCTAACACCTCTGTATCGCAGTGTGTCCTTACTCCGAAACCTGCAATATACCAAATTCAATTTGGGGCCTAACTTATTAAAAAATCATTTAAAGTGCTCTATACATTATGATACATTCTTTAAAAGCATCAAGTTTTATCCCCACGATAGACTATGCATCTGCCATATTCATTGAAGTCAGTACAACTTGTGCCTGCACGTACGTGTACATGCACACCTCAGCAACCACACACCTTTTTTCAGCATTGTTCAAGATAATATAGAAACTACATTCATCTGCTTCATTACAACCGTGACAGATCTAAATCAATGACTTACGGATGTGTCTGTCTAGCCCATATCAAAATCGTATTAAGAAAATACACATACCATCCTGGATTACAAACAGCTGACGATTCACAGTAAATATCTGAATATAAAACCGTAACACCCACACTTCTTCCATTCCGGTAAAGTTTATATTTGAAACCAATGAAACAAAAACATAATTTTGACACGTTTCGCCGTTGCCCTAATCTTCCCCATATCTCCTGACTCGCCTACAATAAATCCTCCTGACTGCAGTAATGCCTGTTTCTGAGGGCACAGCTGATCAACTGCAGGCTTTCCTGTTATTGAACGCCGCTAACAAACTGTTCATGACTCTAGCAGATGTTTTTGCTTTCAAACCAACAGGAACTTTATGGACTGTTCTGAATTTTTTTTTTTTTTTGTTCTCTCTATCCCAGGGGCTACTACTAGAGCTGTCAAGATTAGGGAAGCAGCTCTTCAGTGACTAGCTGCAAAAACGTGAGCCCGGGGAGCAGCATCCACCCTGCTTTGTCACCGTATTTCTCCCCTGCGTAATACTCTTACATTTTACTGGAGGTTCAAGATGGCCTTACAGTGAAAAAGAAATCAAAATTTAAGAGTAGTTTTGGTCTCTCAAAAGTATTGCCTTTTCCTGAGGAACCACAGCTTTGCGCAGGTCTTGCAGCTTCGGAGCGCAGCATTAACTCTTTCTACCAAAAAGTGACGACATGCTGAATTCCACGAAAAAGCTCTGCCTTAGAGTTCACCAGCAGGGCAACAGTGATAAAGCCTTAGCTGAGGTCAAACCTCAGTAATTTATTTTGCTATTTAATAAAATCGCATTTACGTACCACACCTATCACAAAAGCAGGCATTTAAAGAGAGTCTGGTTTTGATAGCAGGATCCCACAATGATGGTCCCAGCCTTGCCACAGGCAAAGCAAGCTCTACTCCCACTGCCCTTAGTGGGAGCATGCAGTGTTCTGTGAGATATGACCTTACAAGACAAGTGATTCTTGCTGGAGATTTGCCATCGCTGTACCGCTTATTACAGATATACATATGGTCGTTTTTTTTTTTTCCAAGTTAAAAATGGCCTTGAAGTTACAGGAACAAATATGTTCTAAAAATGTAAAACCGATTCTTTCTTCATTTCTGGGTCACGCACCTCTTGCATTGGTATCAAGTTCCAAGATGAGATTAATTTAAGCCCAGAGGGACATTTCCAGGAATTTGAGCTCAAAAGTAACCTTTTCTCTTTCAGCTTAATTCTTTGAAAATCTGAATTCACACTGGAAATTATGGCAGCCCCTTACACATCAGTGAAGCTATCTTATGCTATAATACAGAGTTTTTCTCAATTTCCAAAGAACTTCACCGTAACGCAGGATAACAAATAATAAAATTCAAATTCTTCAAAAGCTTTGCAGCAAGCAGTGTTTTTTTCTTGCACTCCTGTAATCTCGCTTTCACTGGAAAAAGTCACAAATGGCACACGCATAGGCAAGGAGCAAGCAAGCCCTTGCTGCACAGAGACTTTTTACTGGCAATTGCAGGTGTTTTGTACCTTCCCAAAATAACAAATTCAATCCTTTGTGTCTGAACTATGCCAGTTTTTAGCTTTTTGCTATCCTTACACCAACATCTGGAACAAACATATCAAATATCAGAATGCAACTGAGTTTGTTTAATCTAGAAATACACAAACATGCAGAAATTTGTACAATTACCCATGAAGTGAAAAAGTACAAGGAAAATGAGTGTTTATTAAAAATTTAAGGGGGGAATTAGAATCTACAACTTCTGTTTATGCAGTATAACAAGACACAAGTTTCAAAAGTCCGCTTATAAATACAAAAAAATGCCATAAGGAAGCATTCAAGGTCACTTTTTAAAAACTGGCGTGCTACCTACGGCAAAAATCAGAGCTTTGCCATAAATATTTGGCAAGGGGCAAAAACCATCTTTGAGCTGCTCAAAAATAATAGTAGCACCTTTAATATCTGTCCTCCTTCAAGTGAAAAGTGATCTGCATCAGCTCTAAATCTGGAGTATATTCCTGTCCCTCCGTCCTGACTAGGTCAGGAACCACTCCACATTTAACTAAGGAAAAACAGAATCTCAGTGAAAACTGTTGTTCTTCATCTTCTTTCATGACTTGAACACCATAATCTCATTTTCTACCCTCAAAAGCAAAGGTACAGGTGCTTACCCATAATCTAAGGTAAATTTTTAAAGTTTACAGGCTCCCTTCTCTGCAGCTACAGGATTAATCTTACTACTATACTGAAGAAAGATTATTAAAGGCAAGGGTCTGAAAAAAAATACATTAAAAATTTAGTCATTTGTGTGATAATTGCTAGTGCCAGGAAAACTGCAAAGGGGGACTGTAGAAACAAAAGTTTCAACAGAAGCCAAAGCAAAGGCTGAAATACAGCTGAGCTGATATTCCTCTGGAACTCCAGGACCCGATTCACACAGTTCAATGACTAAGTATGAAAAAAACACATTGTTTTGAAACTTTGACATGATATTTAGTGACAAATAAAGAAAATAAACAATTTATATTAACCTCAAATAATTTGCATAGACACTCCTGACACGTGAGCAAGACCTAGACAAATATACATGCTTGATGAATATTGGAATTAACAAACAGTGGTTTTGTTCATAGATGGGCTAATTATACAATAAATACCTAGAGCTAAGACAAACCTTTATTCATTCAAAGATTATAAATT